GTAGTATTTTTTATTTTCAAATTTAGTGGATAACAATTGTAAAAAATGAGTGAAAACAATCCCACGGACAATGCGACGGATTTAAGGTTATGTCAAGGTACGTCTCTTGTGAATATCAATTGATTGTTAGGTTTTCTCTTCTGAAATTACATTATGACGCATTCACATACATTAATACATTTTCCAGGGCGAGACGATGAGGCAACCACAAGCACTGGTTCACGAGGTCCACGAGGGAAAAATGCACAATATTACCGTGATCACAGATCACGGAAGCGAGCGGAGCAGGAAAAAGATTTGTTGAATAGAACTAGTGATCCTTCTACGACTACTGATTCTTCTCCTATTAACGTCGCAGGTTACGAAGTTTAACTTCTTCCGCGCGGAGGGACTCCACACACTATTTTTTTTTTAGATTTTCCATAGCTTTCAAGATGCAAACATTTGTCTTAGTTTCCATTTATATTGAATAACAGATTTTTGATCATCAACTAGAATATTTAAAGAAATATGCTTTGGTAATTAAAGTGATTTCTGTATAATTCAGCCGTTTTGTAATAACTTTTCCATTTTTTTCTTGTTCCTAAAGATTTTGTTCATAACAGTATTTTAAGATGTAAAAAGATGTCTGTTGGGACATTTCCTTTCTAAAGAGGTCTAACAGCTTACTCACCGAGCTATTTCTGTTGTTGTCTTTACTTAGATAAATCAAACTGTTCAAGAAATATTTAGCCTTAAATTGAACATCAAACCAGAAATTTAATCCAGATTTCATAGTCATTGTTGCTGTGCATGTACTGAATAAATTTTTAACGTACGTAATTTTTAACCACAAAAACTGTTCACTTAATTTTATAAGCTCCCCCGATATAAAAAAAAAAGAATTTTTCACAAACAATGATCCTTTCTCGGATGGTGGGGCATGTTAGTAATTTTTTAACCGATTTCAAGCTGATATCTCAAAGCGATCTGAAAAGAAACAATTGACAATTGCCTAAACAATTAGGAGAGGTTGGAGAGCAGCAGCAAGCAGGGTGAGTTATTTCGGGTGCGAAAGAAATAAAATTGTGTTGTGTCAGTGCATGGGCAAGTAAATTAAAGATAAGCAGTGTAGGAGAAACAATGTGCTAATTTTAATCAATATATTCATATTTCTATAGCAGGCATTTTGACCACAAATGATCATTCTAGGTAAATCGTCATTTTATGCGATCACTTTATATTCAAATAAAAGTTTAATTACTTTTGAAAATTTCAGAAAGTAGAGAAGAGTCACGAAAGTCAAATAAGCTTTTATAATTGATTTGCTGTCAAAATGTCCTCTCCGATAGTTCCAACCTTATATTTGGGTTTAATTATCAGAATTAGGGTTTCTTTTACCAGAAATGTCTTTACCATATACGTATGATAATACAGTCAGAGTTTCTTTATCCGTGAAGGTTTTGTATTTCATTACTCAAGAAATCGATAAAGTCAAATTATTACAATTCATTACTTATAACCGCTTCTTAATCCTATCAATAGTTAGATAACTATTTATTTAATAACATGATTTTGAATCTTAAGTTTTAACTAAATTGTAATATTTTATTTACTCTTCCGCAAGTTGTTGAAAAAAGGCTTTATTTGTGAAAAAAAATGGCAATTCTAAAGTCAAATCAACGCCTAATAAAATAAATTTTGAAATATTTGGTTTTATTACAGATTTTATGAATATGATTCCTTAAAATTTATTAATTTTAACAAAATTAGAAACTTTAAAAGGATTAATTTAAAAGGATGCATTTTAAAGGATAAACTTTTTTTATCATTTTGAAGGTTTCGTATTTCCCAAGAACAGGATAAATAATATTTTTAGTGATTTAAATTTTTTGAACTCATCAAAATCTGCAGAAATTAAAATTATAATATTTATTCAACTAATTACTTTTCTCAAGTGACGAGAACTGTAACTCAAATCCATCACTTGCAATTAAACTCGCTACAAAATTCACAAACTATTAAATATCTTCTACAACGCTTAGAACTGTCTCTATTTAACTGATCAGCCTTAGAGTCTGTTGTCATAACTACTATTATATAGCTTGTTATATATAACTACTATTATATAGCTTGTTATATATAACTACTATTATATAGCTTGTTATATATAACTACTATTATATAGCTTGTTATATATAACTACTATTATATAGCTTGTTATATATAACTACTATTATATAGCTTGTTATATATAACTACTATTATATAGCTTGTTATATATAACTACTATTATATAGCTTGTTATATATAACTACTATTATATAGCTTGTTATATA